TTGGCGCCCCAACACCTGATTGGCCGGTTGGCCAACACCCCGAGGTGCTGATTGGTCGACACCCCGGCGCTCTGATTGGCCGCAGAATGACACCCCAACACGCTGATTGGCCGGAACCTCGCGTGCTGATTGGCTGGCCCGCAGGGACCTCCACGTGCTGATTGGTTGGCTGAGTAGCCCCCCATGCTCTGATTGGTTGGCTGAGCGCTTCCCGAGGTGCTGATTGGCCGCCCTCCCACCAATCAGGGCACTCACCTCCCGCCATTGGTGGCAGCCCGGGCGCTGCGTGTAGAGCACGCACACTGCGGGGGGAGGGGGGTCGGGGGGGCCCCAAAACCCCCCAAAACACCCCCAAACCCCCCCAAACACACCCAGGGACCCCGAAACCAACCTCGGGGACCCCAAAATATCCTCAGACCCCCCAAAACGCCCATTGGGACCCCCCAAAAATCACACCCAGGGACCCCAAAAACACTCCCGGGGACACCAAAAACAACCTCGGGGACCCCAAAGTATCCCAAGACCCCAAAACCACCCCCTGGGACCCCAAAAACACACCCAAAACACAACCTGGGCCCCCCAAACATCCCCTCCCCGGAACACTGATACACCCAGGGACCCCCAAAACACCCCCCAGGGGCCCAAAAACATCCCCAGAGACCCCCCAAACACCCCCCAGGGACCCCCAAAACACCTCCAGCGACCCCAGAAACACCCCCCAGGGACCTCAGTACTCCATAGGGCCCCCCAAAATACCCCTCAGAGACACCAACACCCACAGGGACTCCCAAAATACCCCCCAGGGACCCCCCAAACAGCCCCCAGAGACACTGACACCCCCCAGGGACCCAAAAACACCCCCCAGGGACCCCTAAAACACCCCCCAAGCCCCCCCGGCCCTGCCCCCCCCACTCACTGGGGTCCGACTTGGAGAAGGTGTCCCTGTCCAGGAGCTGCCTGGGGGGGAGAGGGAGAGGGGGGTCAGTGAGAGTGATCTGAGTGGGATCTGAGGGGGATCAGTGTGGGATCTGAGTGGGATCTGAGTGTGAGTGTGAACTGTGTGTGATCAGTGCGTGATCAGTCTGTGTGTGAGTGTGATCTCTGAGTGTGAGTGTGAACTGTTTGTGAACTGTGTGTGTGATCTGAGTGGGATCTGAGTGTGACTGTGAGAGTATGAGTGTGATCTGAGTGTGAACTGAGTGTGATCTGTGAGTGTGATCTGTGAGTGTGATCTCTAAGTGTGATCTCTGAGTGTGATCTGTGAGTGTGATCTGTGTGTGTGATCTGTGTGTGTGAACCGTGATCTGTGTGTGATCAGTGTGAACTGTGAGAGTGTGTGAACTGGGTGTGAACAGTGTGTTTGTGTGTGATCTCTGAATGTGATCTGAGTGTGAACTGGGTGTGAACTGTGTGATCTGAGAGTGACCTGTGATCAGTGTGTGATCTGAGTGTGATCTGAGTGTGCTCTGAGTGTGAGCACGAGCCGAGTGTGAGTGAGCAGGGGCTGTGCCCGGGGCTGTGTCCGTGCCCGGCTGTGCCCCCCACACACACCGGGGGGCACG